ATTGTTATTCAAATTTTATTCAATCATAATTCAATTTTCATTTAAATTTTATTCTATTATCATTCTGACTCAATTTTTACTCAAATTTTATTCAATTCTTATTTAAATTTCATTCAATTATAATTCAATTCTTATTCAAAATTTTATTCAATTATTATTTTTATTCAATTCTTATTTAAATTTCATTCAATTTTCATTCAAATTTTTTTCTATTATTATTCTGATTCAATTTTTTTTTTCAATTCTTATTCAAAATTTCATTCAATTATTGCTCAAACTTTATTCCATTATTATTCTAATTCAAATTTCATTCAATTATAATTCAATTTCCTTTAAAATTTTCTTCTATTAATATTTTGATTTAATTTTTATTTAATTCTTATTAAAATTATATTCAATTATTTTTTTCATTCAATTATTGTTCAAACTTTATTCCATTATTATTCTGATTCAAATTTTATTCAATTATTATTTTTATTCAATTCTTCTTCAAACTTTATTCAATTATTATTTTGATTCAATTGTTATTCAAATTTTATTTAATCATTATTTTGATTCAATTATTGTTTTCAATAGAATTTCTAGTTGTTTATAAATTACATTTTGCAAATAATCGTAAAATAATACTGATGACCGTTTTTTCGCTTTCATAAAAAAAAAAATACAAATTCAAAATGCATGAGACAGAAAGTCTTTAATCTGAAGAATAAAGATTATTTTTTATACCAATAAAAAAAATTCAGCGGCCAAAAGAACATTTTTTCTCTCGAAAATTAATCTTTTTGTTTCTTTTTATATTTTCAATTTCGCAAATTTATATTTTTAACATGTTGCGCTGCCACTGCAAGTATTAAAAAAATAACGGAAAAATAAATAATATACTATTTTAAAAAATATGAAAAATAATAAAAATTATAAATAAGTTGCGATATTTTTATTCAATTATTTTTAGTCTCTAATAAGCCTTTTATTTATTTTTTTATTAAAGTATTTATTTATTTATTTATTTAGATATTTATTTATTTATTTAGGTATTTATTTATTTATATTTTGATGAAGGTTAATCAAAATTGATATAAATTTCTTTTTAATTCTGAGTTTAAATGAGATTTATTTAAATTATTTATATCACAGACACGATGATTTTTAAATGACAGTAAATGGGAATGTGCGCAAAAACAAAAAAAAAAACTTGTTAAAATTATAAACAAGACCGTGAACATTAAATTAAGTATAGTGCCATTTAATTAAAATCACAAATATATAATATGTATATGTATAAATGTATATGATCTGTAACAAATCGAAAACACATAACAGACTCTCATAAAAGAATGTCATGGCAAATTTTTCACTGGTCTTGAAGAAAAAAGAAAAAGCGAAAAAATTTTCTCCTCATTTTTCCCACTCCTTTCACGCTCTTAAAATGCAAGAATCTATTGTTTGGAAAACTTGAAATTTTCATTTGGAACAAATTAAAAATTATTTTTCAAGATACTTAAAAGTCATTTAAAGTAAATTTAAAAAAACATTTAAAGTAACTTAAAAAAAAAATTGAAGCGTATTTTAAAAATTATATTATTTGAACCAAATTAAAATTTAAGCTTAATTAAAAATTTTTTTAAAAATCTAAATTGAAACAGAATTAAATGAATTTTTTTCCGGTTTAAATAATTATTTCTCCAATGAAAAATTCTATTAATTTTTTTTTTTTAATAATTAATTGTTTTTTTTAATAGAGTAAAAATTATTGAGCGAAAGGAGTCAGAAAAAGGGGAAAGAATTTTTTTTTTAAATTGAGGAGAAAAAATATACAAAACAGTTGCACAGATCACCGGACGCAACATTTGCACTATATAAAAAAAAATCTATAAACGAATATAAAAAAAAATTGTCTAACGCTTTCAGTATGAAAAAAAGAGAAAATCACACTCTGCGAAGAGGTACGTCGAAAAAAATGTGTATATAATATATATATTATAGTAACAGCAGCAGCGCGACTTGTTACCGGAAGTATAGATTGACATAACATGCGATTTTTTCTTCTCTCGATATTTTCAAAAAATATTATTTATATTTACAAAAATTTTTTTTTCTTATTATACTCTAAATACATCCATACTTTGTTTTTTTTTTTAAATACAGTATTCCATCAGGCTGCTTGTAAAGTCTTTATAAAAATAAAATAAATAATCTGAATAAATATGCGTATTAAGAGTAATAATAATTACATAGTTAGTCAATAAATTATTAATTGTGTAAACTTTCAGTTTTTTTTTCTTTTCTTTTTTTTTAAAGAGGAATCGAAGGCGCAGAACGTTCTTTTTTTTCTAATAATATTTCTTTTTTGTTCTTTCTCTAATACTATATAAAAATTGTGAGTTTAAACTCACTGTAATAAACTCTTTCGTGATGCACACATGTGCATATATAAATACTATATTTTATCTCACAAAAATTTTGGTGCTTTCACACTTGCGGAGCTTCGAATTTTGATAAGAAGAAGTGCAGAGGAGATTGAGATGTTCATTAAAAATCATTAGAAAGAAAGAAAAAAAAAAGAAAAATATGATGGAAATTTATTCAAGAAATTTTTTCTTTTTTTATGTCCTGATTTTTCATTTGATTATAATTTCTGTACAATAACATTTGTCACGTTTATTTTGTAAATAATTCAATTAATTTTTAATTTCACAAACAATTTAGTAAATTGATTTTTAATTTAATGAACAATTTAGTAAATCAATTTTTAATTTAATAAACAATTTAGTAAATCAATTTTTACTTTAATAAATAATTATTTATTATTATTATTTATTATTTATTTATTATTTAATTTTTTTTTTACTTTAATCAATAATTTAACAAATCAATTTTTGCTCCAATAAATTATTTAATAAATAATTTTTTAATTAAATAAATAATTTAATTAATCATTTAGTAAATTAATTTTTACTTTATTAAATAATTTTATAAATAATTTAATGAACTAATTTTTAATTAAAAAAAAAATTTAATAAATAATTTATTAAATCAATTTTTAAGATAAATCATTTTTTACTTCAATAAATAATTTAGTGAGCTAATTTATACTTTATAAATTAATTTATTTAATCAATTTTTAATTTAATAAATCATTTAATGAAATGCCTTTTAATTAAAAAATTATTTAATTAATCAATTTTTAATTAAATAAATCTGTTTTCAATTAAATTATTCAAATTATTATTCACATGTTGTCAATGTTAAATTATAATCGTAATGAAAAAAATTTACAATTTATTCTTTTCGGAAGAAAATTTCTTGCAAAATCTTTGAATAATTTATTGGAATTTTATTCCGATAGTTTATTAAAAGATTTTTTTTTGCAAATAGAATTTATTAGAATTTTATTCAAAAAATTAATTCGAAATTGAATAGTAAAATTAATTCCAAATTTAATTGAATAAAATTCGTTAATAAATTTTTGGCTATAATTTTCTTTTTTTTATTTTCAAATAGAAAACTCAATTTAAATGGCAATTTTTTATCAATTATTTTTAATAAATCATTCAATTGTCTCGGCAATAAATAATTTATTGAAAAATTCCAGTTTCAATAGAAAATTTACCGGAAAATTAATAATTTTGTCCGGTGAAATAATTTATTGAACTTTTTCGATAGATAATTTATCAACAATTGACTCTAGATAATATATTAAAAAAAAATTATTTAAAAAAATTGCTTTTAATTAGAAAATTTAAAAATAAATTATTTATTGTAAATTAAAAAAATATATATTTTAAATTGAAAAAAAATACTTTTTGTAAATTAAAAAAAATTTCTTATAAATTTAAAAAAACTATTTCTTGTAAATTAAAAAAAATTTCATGTGAATTTAAAAAAAACTATTTCTTGTAAATTAAAAAATAACTATTTCTTGTAAATGAAAATTTTTTTTTGTAAATTAAAAGAAAAACATTTCTTGTAAATTAAAAAAAAATTTCTTGTAAATTTAAAAAAACTATTTCTTGTAAGTTAAAAAAAAATTCTTGTAAATTTAAAAAAAATATTGTAAATTAAAAAAAAAATTGTTGTACATTTAAAAAAAATATTATAAATAAAAAAAAGTTTCTTCTGTAATTTTTTCAATCAACTCTGCAAATTTCTAAAAACAAATTAGAAGCGAACGGAGAAAAACACCGGAAAATTTATCGCAAAAATCGAAAGGAGAATTTTTTTCTCGAATTTTATAATCTCTCTTTCACTCTCTCTCTCTCTCTCTTTCCGCTCTCCTTCATTCTCACTCTTAATTTCTCCTGCATTCTCGTCTACACTTTATTTTTCGCACTTTTAAAAAATATTTCTATTTTTCCTCATCTAGATATAGCGAATATAAGTCATGGTTCAAACCTCCCGAAAAATAGTCGCTCACTTGAAAATACAGCCACTGAGAGAGTAAAAAACTCTCATTACATTTTTATTGCATCTCGATAATAGAAAAATTTCCCAAATTAAAAATAGTCATTTCAAAGAAAAAAAAAAAAACATTGTTTCAAAAACTACAATAAAATCTCTACTATAAATAAATTTGTTGCTTCTTATCACCAATTATTAAAAATTTTTTTTGAAAATCCCCCGAGAGCAATAAAAAATTCACAAGAGTTTTTTTTTTTAAGAGACATTCGTACGTACACGTATATAACTTTTTCACAGAGACAATTTTTTTTTCCCGGTAAAGAAGTAATTTTTCTCACACTAATCCTTATAAATGTTCTTCTTCTTCGAAAACGATACAATTTTTTTTTTCCAAATAACTTATTAAAGAATATACAATATTAATTACAATTTTTTTTTCTTTATACAATATACATTCACTGAGAAATTTTTTAAAAAATACTTTTTTTCACAGAACTAGTTAATTTTTGTATTTTCCCAAAAAAATTTTCTTTTTTGCACAATAATAATTTTTTTTTTAGAAAATAATTTAGGAAAAAATTAATTAAAAAATTATTTTTAAAAACTAATTTATTAAAATATCTTTTTTGAAAATTGAATTTTTTTTTCTAAATTAAGAGCTTTTTTTAAAAAAAAGAAAATTTGAAAAAATTGATTTTTTTTAAAGAAAATTTTGATGAACGAGCAGTAAGAACCGTGTATTAATTCGAGCTATTCCGTTTTTCCTTTTTTATATTCACAATAAGGTGCCGATACATGCACACGTGCTTGTTTTATTTTTGTGCGTGTGTTTGGGGGGTGGGGGAAAGGGGGGGGAAGTATACAGGTGTGCGAAGATGTCAGCTACATTGAAATGACTTGGCGACGGCGGCGAAAGCCGGCGGGCTGGTTTCGGGCGACTCTTTTTTTTTCTTTTTTTTTTCCTCTTGCTCTTTGTCTCCCTCGTCTTCTTTTCATCTTCATTTACAATTTTTATAATAAAATGAAGAATCCATATCTTGACTCGAAGCCACGTCATTCCTCGGTCAAAATCCACTACGTTAATAAATATACATAATAATTGAAAAATAAAATGGAAAAATTTATTTTTTGATTCAAATTGCCAAAAAGTACCAAAAATATAATTGAACACAATCGAGACAAATTTTTCTATTTCAAAAAAAATTTTCTCTTTTATTCGTTATCAATGACAAGATAGAGTCAATGAGTGAAGTGCACAATTTTATTTCAAAAAAGTGATTCATCATGATTCATCTTGATTGTAACTCAAATGGGAAAATTTGTTTTTTTTTTTTTTTTTTGTTGATTGCGTTCAATTTTTTTAAATTTCTCCAAAATATATTCAATTTGACTAAAAAAAGTTTTATTTTTAAGAAGAAATAAAACTTTTCCTTTTTTTTTTATTGTTAATCAAGGGGGTGTTGTGGGGGAAGGGGGGAATTTTTTTTTTTTATGAAATACGTATTGCAAGTGTCCCTGGGAAAAATTGTTCTTCGAAAAATGCGCGCCTATTCACGAGAGGAAAATTCTCTTCACATTTCTTTTTTTTTTTTCATTTGTTATCCGGGTTTTCTGAATGTGATGAGTCGTCGCCTCGATACCCTGCGCCAGCTTCCGCCTTGTTGACCTCAGGATGTCAATTTTGATTGCAAATGATCAAACACCTGCAGAATGAACTCAAGTCCATTGACATAATCTCGGAATATGAGAAAATCACGTAAATTTCTATACGTCTCGGCTTTCATATTTCGATATTCATGATTCATTATTGTTGGCGATACGTCCTGCTTGAATGTGACTGCTCTCTCGACGAGCGCCGTTTGCAACATGCACAGAACCTAAAACAAAAAGAAATTTTCTTCTTATCTCTGTTTTTTTAGATTTTTCATATATTTAATTTGTTTATATTTTATTTATTTATTTTTTTATTTGTCTATTCATCTATTAATTTATTTGTTTGTTTAATTCTTTATTTATTTGTTTATCAATTTATTTGTTAATTTATTTACTAATTTATTTGTCTATTTGTTTACTTATAAATTTATTTATTTATTTGTTTTGTTTTTTATTTGTTTATATTTTATATATTTGTATATTTAATTTATTGGTTTGTTTAACAATTTGTTTATCAATTTGTTTATATTTTATTTATTTGTATATTTAATTTATTTTTTTTTTTATTTATCTATTCGTTTATTTGTTTGTTTATTTATTTGTATTTCAATTTGTTTATCAATTTGTTTATCGATTTGTTTATTAATTTGTTTATCAATTTATTTATCAATTTATTTACTAATTTATTTATCTATTTGTTTATTTATAAATTTATTTATTTATTTGTCAATTTGTTTATTTATAAATTTATTTATTTATTTGTCAATTTGTTTATTTAACAATCTATTTATTTATCCATATCTCTTTGCTTATTTGTTTATTTTTTTATTTTTATTTGTTTATATTTAATTTATTTGTTTGTTTATCTTTTCATTTATTTGTTTTTTTATTTATTAGTATTTTAATTTGTTTATCAATTTGTTTAACAATTTGTTTATCGATTTGTTTATCAATTTGTTTATCAATTTTTTTATCAATTTATTTACTAATTTATTTGTTTATTTGATTATCTATAAATTTATTTGTATTTCAATTTGTTTATCAATTTGTTTATTGATTTGTTTATCAATTTATTTATCAATTTATTTACTAATTTATTTGTCTATTTGATTATTTATAAATTTATTTATTTATTTACTTATTTGCTATTTTCAATTGTTTTTTTAATTGTTTATTTGTGTATTTTTTTATTTGTTTATTCATTTATTGTTACATTTACTTATTTGTTTTTCGTCGGTATTTAAATTTTTTAATACACTTAATTTATGAAAAATAAAAAAACCGTAAAATCCATTTAAAAAAAAGTGAAAAAGCAGTGAAAATAAACCAAAAAAAGGGAAAATATTCGAAAATAGAAACAAATAAAAAATTAAAATTAAAAAAAATCGAAAGCCAAGAAACAATTAATTTGCAACAATAAATAATTTTATTAATAAAAAATAAAAAAAACTTCTCCAATTATTGTGAAACTTAGTTATAATTTTTCTTGAGCAATGAATGTATTGCAAACTTCAATTCAATATTTTTATTAGAAAAAGAAATAAAAACGAAAAAAAAAACTTAGAAATAGAATTTAATAGTCGAGAAAACTAACAGTTATTAACTATTGATTGCCGCAGTATAAACAACTGTTCGAGAATAATTTTACGGAAAAATAAAGAAAAAAAAAAGTAAATACTTTTTGTTTCAGGTAATAAAACAAAGACTACGAGAAAAAAGAAAAAGGTGAGAACAATACAAATCATTGGGCGATACAGTGAGAAGGAAAAATCGATTAAGGTGCGTAACACAAATAATGACCAATAAAATCACGCTCCTTTTTCGTTTTAGTCGAGTTTTTAATATCTCATCATTCTTGAGGCGAGACCGTAAAATGTCTCTTGTCTTGTCTTTTATACTACCAAAGAGACAATAGTTGTTTGAAAAAAAAGAAGCAAAAAAAATTCTAATTCTACAATTGTGAAAGTTGTGCCCCTTTTTTTTGTCGTATTTTTAAATTCATTTCTAAAGGCTTCCGGTAAAAAGTTAATATTTTTAATTTGTAATCAATATATTTGTTAATATTGTCAATTATTAATTTCTTTATTCTTTATTATTTATCTCTTTATTCTTTATTATTTATTTTTCATTCAATTTTTCTTTATTTTTTATTTCTTTATTCTTTATTTAGTTTTAAAAAATTTTTTTCTCGTCGGACAAATTAAAAATTAAAAGATTTCTTCTTTTCTATTTATCGAAAATTTTATTTTTTTTTTGTGCAGAAAAAGAAATAAACTCACCGCTCCGAGATTTAACTCGGTCTGTTTGAACTCCTCTTGGAATCTCCCGTTATAATATTCCTGATCCCAGACAATTTGCTCTAGACCAACTGCAAATTTCTGCATGTACTCGTATATATTTAACAAAATAGTGTCAAGCTGTAAACAAAGTATAAATTTTTTAAATTTCTATCCAAATATAAAGTATAATAAAAAATTTTTTTTTATTGAAAAGAAAAAATAATTTACTTTGAGAAAAATAAGTAAATTTAAGTCAGAAAAAAATTAATTTCCAAAAAATAGAGAAATTAGGAAAAAATTAATTTGCAAAAAAATAAATAAATTAGAAAAAAATTCATTTCCAACAAATAAATAAATTAGAAAAAATTTATTTAGGTAAAATAAACTAAAAATAAGAAAGAAAATTTTAAGTAAAAAAAATATAATTAAAGAAAGATGAAAAAAATTTAACTAGGAAAAAAAATTCTTTAATGGAAAATAAAATAATTGGAGAAAAAATTAAAGACTAAAAAAATAAAGAGAGAAATAAAAAAATATTTACCAGACGAACGTCGAATTGATCCAGGTACTTTTGTTCCATCACTTCTTTAAAGTGTTTTGGAATTTCATTAAAAGACGGTAGCCAATCGTAGCGACTCTTTTTCCATTCCGATTGCATTGTCTCTAGATCGCTGTTGAACGTAAGTTTTACCTGCAACAGAAAAAAAAATAAAGAAAATTAATTTTTTTCCAAACAATAAAATTCAAAATAAATAATCTCTTTAATTTTATTTACAATTGCTACTGAATAAAAAAAATTCAAACTATACAAAATTATATCACACGATATATTAAATTTCAATGGGTTTTTTTAAAGAGGGATGAGATGGTCAGTGATATTCATATATATATATGACGAACCAGTTATCCAGTGTATTGTCTACAGGAGAGGCGCCGTATGCTTAAATCATAACAAATAATTCTTATCATAAGAAGCAGTTTCAAATATATAATGGTATGTAGCTTCAATTAACAGTAGCTTTAAATCGCATTTGATTTTACGAAAAAATTTCATGAACGTAAATATAAATAAATAAAAAATAAGTAAATATTTTTTTTCCATTCTAATTTATTTTTAGAAATTTGCAAAGTTAATTGAAATAACAAGAAAAAATTAAAAATAATGAAATAAATAATCGTTTTTTCAAAGATTAACAATTTTTATAATTTATAGAATTTTTTAAATATATTTTTACAATCTTTGAAATTTTAATAAGTTAATAAAATGATAGATACAAAAAAAGATAAAATAAAAATTGCAAAAAATAGAAAAAAGTGTAAATTATTTTTAAAAAATTGCAAGAATCGTAAAAATGAGAAATTGTTAGAAAAAATTAACTTAATAAATAAATATATAAATAAATGAATATAAATAAATATAAATAAATATAAATAAATAAACAAAATTGAAAAAAGTAAATAAAACATTAGATCTGCGACACGTGAGTGGCACACGCTTACTCATATTGGCGATTTTTCAATGTTTATAAATATTACGTATATATTATTATATCTCTTTGCTAATGGGGAGAAAATTTCTACACTATACACATATACGCGTGGTTCTCAATAATAAACGAGGTACAAAAATTGACCGTCAATTTTAATCAATGACTAACACACAATACAAAAGCAAAAATAATAAGGGATCTCTATATCTCTATATATATATATATATTTATTCACACGTGAAACATGAATGTAATTCTGACGCCTATTATGTGACAATTACGGCTACTTGGAAACATGCCCGCAATGTGGTTAATGTAGCACGCGTCCTGTAAAATGCATTGGCCTTTTGAATGTCGAGTTTATTATTATATTGAAACGATAAGAAAACATTAAATTCACACGCGTGTATAAATGCGAATTTCGAACAAAATTTTTCTCCACATTTTCATTTATACTTTTTTTTCTTATTAATTCTTGTTAATTTTCTTTTTATTCACCTTTCCTCGAAATATTATTTATCCTGCGGTTTTGATATAAACTTCTTTTTTTTATAAATTTTGTATTTTATAATATATATAGTAAAATTAAGAATTGAAGAAAAAATTGACGTACCGACGATTTTACGGAATGTTTTTTTTTAATTTTCTTTTTTATTATTTTTAATTAAATAAAAATAAATTATTTATTATTATTTCCAGTACTTTAAATTCGTTAATACTAGAAATAAAAAAATTATTCTCAAAAATGATCGAAATTGAATTGAAACTGAATTGAAATTGAATAAAAATTGAATTATAACTGAATTGAAATAGAATCGAAATTGAATTATAATAGAATTGAATTATAATTCACTTAAAATAGAATTGAAATATAATTGCAATTGAATATTGTAATTGAATTGAAATAGAATTGAAATAGAATTGGAATTGAATTATAATTGAATTGAAAAAGAATTGCAATTGAATTGTAACAGAAAATACTCGAACTAAAAGAACAATTTTTACACCTATAATATTAATAATAATAATAATAATAATATTAAATTTTTGATAATTAATTTTCGAAACGAAATGAAAAAAGAGAACTCTCGTGATAAATTTAATATTTCGTTAAAAGTCACGTGTGAGTAGAGTAATGAAACAGTCAAAAACATAAAGGATGTTGATGCACTCAAGAGAAACGGATCTCAAAGACCGTAGATATCGACAAAATATAGTGACTTCCGAATAAAACCTGGTCCATATGACCTCGTCTCTGGTCTCCAGAGTCTTGTGCGGCCAGCTGGCCCACGGGGATCATCGCATCCGTATACTCGAGTGCTTATCAAGCGGTAGGAATGGCAATAATCAAGTTGCGATACTACTCCGACTGCACACCACTCAGACTCAGATTATGATAATGCATTGCTTCTGCCAATTTAAAGACAGCTTGGTGATTGTGTGTGTGTGAGAGAGAGAGACCAAACCCTGAGAAATATGCTGTCAACGACTTCTAAAGACTCCCACCATGCACTAAAGTATCGTCTCGCATCAAATGGAAGTTAAATATTTTCTCTTTCATATCAACTCTGTTTTTAAAACAAACCAACTTGTGCTGCCTACTTTTCTTCAGCTTTGTTATTATATATATATTATTTCATCATTTAATACCTCAACATGAGAGAATCACTTCAAGAATGTGTTTTTGTTTACTGCAGATTCAAATATGCTTGTACTATACAGTACCTGTACTATTGTGATGACTTTAATTAATAATAGGTCTTAATAGATAATGGTTTGAACTAATGGATAGTTATTATTAATTTTACTGGAATTGATCAAAATTACTAGTGATAATTGGCACTAATGTTAATTTTTTTTTAATTAATAGTGGCCTGTACTAGTGATGACTTTGGTTAATAGTTGGTTCCTAGTAAAGGTTCAAACTATTCATAACTGATATTAATTTTGGTTCCGAGTAGACAATGCTTGGAACTATTGGTACCAAAAATTAATAATGACAGATAGTAGTGATAACTAAAATTAATAGTGGCCTGCACTAGTGATAACTTCAATTAATCGTGGTTCCCAGTAAATAATGCTTCGAACTACTGATAGTGTTAAATAGTTCTAAAGAATTAAATTTAAAAATAGAAGTAGTAAATTTCAAAATAAAAATAAAAGTAAGTAAAATAAAAATAAATCTAGTAATAAATAACAAAATAATAAATTTTGTTCCTACAACACAGTAAAACGTGAAGTGGTAAAATAACACCAGAATTGATTAAAATAATCTGCAACAGTTTAATCCCTCTAGGATTAAATTAACACCAGAAAGGATTAAAATAATCTATTTTGGTGTTATTTTTAACTATGAATGAAATTTTACTTTAAATAAAACACCAAAGTTAACGATTTGTAAAAATTCAACCAATTCAGCTTCTCCAGGGAGAATAGTAAGTTAGTAAGTTAGTTACTAACTTACCAACTAACTTAGTAACTAACTTCGTAACATAGTTACTAAATTCAATTGTGTTCAAAAATTTAAAAAAATCAAATTCCTGTCAATAAAATTTTCCAAAAGAATTTCATTATTAAAAAAAAATTGAATAAAATTCTACGCAAACATTCAATTATTTTCATAAATAATAAAAATTTTTACACGAATTCAATTATTTTCCAAATTTTTTTATAAATTTCTTCGCAATAATTCAATTATTTTCATAAATAATAACATTTCTACAGGAATTCAATTATTTTTATAAATAATAAAATTCTTTTAGGAATTAAATTATTTTCATAAATAATAAAACTCATTGTAGAATTTCAATTATTTTTAATGCAATTTTAATCAAATTCCTCGAAAAATGTAATTATTCTTAAAAATTTTATTAAAATTTGTCCAAAGAATTTAATGATTTAAAAAATTTGTTGATAACATTTTTTATGAGAATTTAATTTCAAGAAACATGAAATTAATAAATTATTTATTTTTGTATTTTTAAATAATTGAATTCTCGTAGAATTTACTAATAAAAATGGTTTTAAAAATGAATTTCAGTTAAAATTTTAGATTATAATTAAATATTACAATTCTTTGGAAAAATTCAATCATTTATAAAAATATAAGAAATCACAAGATTTCAATTATTTTCAAATATTTTAATAAAATTCTTCCAAAGAAATCAATTATTTTAAAATAATTAAATTTTAATAAAATTTTTTTGAAATAATTAAATGTTTTCAAGGAATTTAATTATTTTCAAAAGAATTATAATTTTTCACAGGAATTCAATTATTTTCAAATAATTTAATAAAATTGTTCAAAAGAAATCAATTATTTTAAATACAATTTTAATAAAATTATATTTAAATAATTCAATTATTCTTTTAGATTTTTAATAAAATTCTTCACAGGAATTCAATTATTTACATAAATAATTCTTGGAAAGAATTCAATTATGTCGTTAAATAATAAAATTGTTTCCGAAAATTCAATTATTTTGAGGCATGTTAATAAAATTATTTGCGAAATTCAATTATTTTCATAAATAACAATATTCATCAAAAGAATTCAATTATTTTTAAAAGTAATAAATTTCTTCTTGGAAATTAAATTATTTTTTAGAAAATTGTAATAAAATCGTTCGCAAGAATTCAATTATTTTCATATATAATAACATTTCTACAGGGATTCAATTATTTTTACAAATAATAAAATTCTTTTAGGATTTCAATTATTTTTAATGCAATTTTAATCGAATTACTCGAAAAATGTAATTATTCTTAAAAATTTTATTAACATTTGTCCAAAGAATTTAATGATTTAAAAAATTTGTTCATAACATTTTTTATGAGAATATAATTTCAAGAAACGTGAAATTAATAAAATATTTATTTTTGTATTTAAATAATTGAATTCTCGTAGAATTTACAGATAAAAATGGTTTTAAAAATTAATTGCAGTTAAAATTTTAGATTATAATTAAATATTAAAAGCTTTATAACGTGGATTTTTAGAAATTATTAAATTTTAAAAAAGTTTCAAACTAAAATCATTGAAATTCATAATTTTTCATATTTTTGCCAAAAAATTTTGTACAATTAAATCTTTTTAAAAGTTTAATAGGATTTTTATTGAAATTATTTCAAGTTTTTATTTTTCAATATAATATATAATTGCAGAATTTGCGAATAATTGAAATTTTGTAAAATTGAATTG